TCAGGTGATTTATTTAGGGTATAAAGTCTATGAGCTGGTTTATTTAGGGTATAAAGTCTATCAGGTGATTTATTTGGGGTATAAAGTCTATCAGGTGATTTATTTAGGGTATAAAGTCTATCAGGTGGTTTATTTAGGGTATAAAGTCTTTCAGGTGATTTATTTGGGGAATAAAGTCTTTCAGGTGATTTATTTGGGGAATAAAGTCTATCAGGTGATTTATTTTGGGTATAAAGTCTTTCAAGTGATTTATTTAGGGTATAAAGTCTATCAGCTGGTTTATTTAGGGTATAAAGTCTATCAGGTGATTTATTTGGGGTATAAAGTCTATCAGGTGATTTATTTAGGGTATAAAGTCTACCAGGTGATTTATTTAGGGTATAAAGTCTACCAGGTGGTTTATTTAGGGTATAAAGTCTATCAGGTGGTTTATTTAGGGTATAAAGTCTATCAGGTGATTTATTTAGGGTATAAAGTCTACCAGGTGATTTATTTAGGGTATAACGTCTACCAGGTGGTTTATTTAGGGTATAAAGTCTTTATCAGGTGATTTATTTAGGATATAAAGTCTTTATCAGGTGGTTTATTTAGGGTATAAAGTCTATCAGGTGGTTTATTTAGGGTATAAAGTCTTTATCAGGGGGTTTATTTAGGGTATAAAGTCTATCAGGTGATTTATTTAGGGTATAAAGTCTTTATCAGGTGATTTATTTAGGGTATAAAGTCTTTATCAGGTGGTTTATTTAGGGTATAAAGTCTTTATCAGGTGATTTATTTAGGGTATAAAGTCTTTATCAGGGGGTTTATTTAGGGTATAAAGTCTATCAGGTGCTTTATTTAGGCCTGAGTTCACCTGAAACCTTTTCTTCCTGAAGTGAGACGACAGAAAAACACATTTACTGATGAAAAACAGTGAAATATAAACAAATGGAAACGGGAAACAGAACTTTTAAAAGTTTATTCAGAACCTGATCCAGTCCTCAGTTCTGTTCTGTAGACTATTACAGCGGTTCTAAACTTGTCTTCGGACCATCTGGATTACTGGAGGATAAAATCTAAATAAACGAATCCTGGATTAGAACTGTCTCACACAGTCAGAGGCTCCGCCCCCTTACCTTCATAGGTGAGATGTGAGCATGGGTGACGTATCCGTGCACGTTCTCGATCTGGGACAGGTTCTTCTCTGCTACCTGGACCAGCTCTGGGCCCAGCGCGTCCTCCGTGAGCTGGGGGGAGCTCTGCTCCTGGGGGGACGAGTCCTCATCGTTGTGCCGGTACTTCTGCAGAACAACAACAACAACAACAAGGTGAGCAGAGCAGCTAATGGGTTAAACAGCCCTGAACTCCGTCTCACAGGAACACATGAGCTGTAAACCACCAGCAGGTGGCGCCGTTACTCCAACCTTCAAACAACCAGAGATCAGAACCAAATGTTTCATCAAGTCCAGACTTTGACTGGATGAAGAATCTGAATGAATTCAAATCTCCAGGAGCAGATTTATTTAATAAAATCTTCTCAGGAGGTGACATTTATCCACAACAGTATTAATAAAGTTTTGTTATTTTTATTCAACCCTCAAGCTGGTCTGTAGGTGCAGACGATCACATGAAAAATGTTTTAATTTAGAATAAAAAAGAAGTTGATTTGTAAACAAATCCTGGTGTAAACAGTTTGTTTCAGATAGAAATGTCCTGCTGTTTTCTCCTGACAGGAAGTGACTCAGAGCTCAGAACACATCAGGTCTGGACCCAACAGAACCTGTTCTTACTGACTCATTAGCACTAAAGACAGAAGAAATAAATAACCACAGCCAGCAGGTGTGACTCCCAGCATGCATTTCACCAGCAGACATCCAATCACAGAGCTGCAGTGTCCTGCTGAGGTCCAACAGGTTCTGGATGGAGACGGTGGTCAGAACCAGGACAGTCCGACCCAGATATGAGCCGTTTTTTATCCACTCTAATGATGAGCTGGAACCAACGGTGGGGTTCAGGTGGACTCAGCTCAGTACCAGTTTGATGACCTCATCCTGGACCCTCTGTTCAGGGTCTGAGGAGGTTCTGCTGGAGTAATAAAACATCTTTAGTGTCCCCGTCAGGACTAAAAGACGTTTCAGACCAGAAGCTTTCTGGATTTCTGCTTCAGGACCAACCCGGGTCAGGACTGACCACCGAGCGACAGACAGACGAACACCAGGAGGCGTGACCACGAAGCAGGAAGTGACCTAACATGGTTCTGACAGACCAGCCAGGATTCAGAGCGGTCAGTGAAGGCAGCATGATCTGAGGAGGTGCCCACTCCTCATCACCTCCTCCTCGTTTCTGAGAGCTGAGGAGGAGGAGGAGGAGGAGGAGGCACGGCGCCGACTCCTGCCTGCCAAATGCTGCTATAAATAGGAGCGACAGCACAGAGGATGAAGCTGAGGAGGAGGAGGGCCAGCTGATGAAGAGGGAGACAATGAGAACATCTTTCACCAACAGGACCTTCATTCATCTTTTCATCAGAAAATTATTTAATCCTGCTCCCACTCTTTTATTACAACAAATCAGAAAACTTAAATCTGAAACACCTGAGAATTAAAACCATTTAATCACTAATCTGACATAATTACAGATGAAGTTATAATCCAGAGAAACAACGTTTGTGTCAGAGAGTAAACACTGACACAAACTGAACTCACATCTCTAAACATGGAAACAAACCAGAAGAGTTCCTCAGACTGAGGGTCCAGACTCTGAGCCTGGACTACATCAGTACAGACCCAGCAGGACCCGGTCTGAGGACCAGAACACACCTGGACCAGTCTTGAGGACCAGAACACATCTGGACCAGTCTGAGGACCAGAACACATCTGGACCAGAACTCACTGGTTCTGATTGTTAAAACCACATGTGTCAAATTAAAGGCCCACGGGCCAGAGGGCAGCCCTTCTCCACCCCCTAAATGTCTTTTTTTCTTTACTTAATATGAAAATAGTTTTTATATGAATGGTAAACATTGAATTAGTGACTAAATGCAACAAAATGAATCAATTTAAAAGGTAAAGATAATAAATCCTGTCCTGCCCCTGAGCTGTTCAGTTCCTGAGCTGTTCAGTACCTGAGCTGTTCAGTACTAAATCAGCTGCTTTAAAGCCAGTATTGACCATAAACTACATCTCCCATGATGCATGTTGATTATACGTAGGAATTCCCTGTAGGAAAGTGGGAGAGTTCAGAATTTAAACTACTCAGCACATCCCATCAGTGGGTAAAACTCTTTTCGTTTTAATAGTGTTTAATTTATTTCATATTTTGTCAGTCTGGTGTTTATAGAGGTCGTATTAAACACTGTCTCTATGCAGGAAACACCATGTAGAGCTCAGTGAGAGTGTAAGCGGTGCTCAGTCACAGCAGTGAGACGAGGAGCATGATGTGGTGAGGTGGTGAGTTTCAACCCCCCTGGTTTAAACTGAGTCCAGTACACAGGTAAGTCTGAACAAACACCATGAGCCATGCTCAGATTTGAACCATCAACCTGTAAAGACCTTCAACAAACACCAGGCCCATCCAGCTGTCCCTGCAGTTCAAATAGGTCCTGGTTCTGTCCTGTCAGTCTGCTGGCTGATTAGCTCAGGACCAACAGCAGCAGGTTTAAACCACTATAAATAACTTCAGGTTTTATTGACTAAAACATGGTTTTAAAGGCAGTAAAGCAGAAACCAGGTGAACGTTTGGGACTAAATTTACTGTCTGGTTATGTTAAAACAGATGGAGTCAGTGTTAAAGTTCAGTCATGGTTTACAGCAGGAAGTTTAACTGAGTTTTAAAAAGGATGAAGTGTAAAACAGCCCTGATGGATTCAGATTAGTCTGCAGAGGTGAATGAGATGATTGATAACTGTGCAGCTGCTGCTGCTGATCAGAGGTGTAAACATTTTAACCTCATCCTGGATTAAACACTTTACAACAGATAACTTCAGGCACAATCTATTGAGTGTGTGTCTGTGGGAGCGGTCGATGGCGGCGGATCGATCGGGCTTAATTAAGACCGGCTGTCATCAGACAGGCACTGTTAGAGAAGCAGAGCTGCCATGTGACCCCCAGACCCCTGACTTTAGGTCTGACCTCCCAGAACAACAGCTGAAACTAGAGCAGACGGGTCAGGAACCGTCACAGTTAAAATTCTAAACAAATCTGTTTATTCAGCAGAAACTCACAAGTTCCTCTGTTTTTATTTTTCCTGATCTGGAACCAGAAACATGAAAGAAAACCAAGCTCTGAAGCCAGATACAAGACAAAACCAAAGAATGATGGTTTATCTAAAGCTGAGTCCTAGAAACCAGGTCCAGGAGGGAGCCCCACACCACCTCCTCCTCAGAAACTCTCTCCAGATCCTCCTGGAGGATCTCAATGTGGACCCAGACCTATATTAAGTTCTGGGTCTCCTAACAAAGGTGACCACAGTTGGATCTACACCAAGATCTCCACAGATGACAATATGAGATATGAGGTAAAACATGTTTTATCAAGTAACTCTTGGTAAACATCTGTTTTACCAGGTAACTCTTGGTAAAACATCTGTTTTACCAGGTAACTCTTGGTAAAACATCTGTTTTACCAGGTAAATCTTGGTAAAACATCTGTTTCATCAGGTTACTCTTGGTAAAACATCTGTTTTACCAGATAACTCTTATTGTTAAAACATCTGTTTTACCAGATAACTCTTGGTAAAACATCTGTTTTACAACGTAACTCTCGGTAAAACATCTGTTTTATCAGATAACTCTTGTTAAAACATCTGTTTTACAAGGTAACTCTTGGTAAAATATCTGTTTTATCAGATAACTCTTGGTAAAATATCTGTTTTATCAGATAACTCTTGGTAAAAGGTCTGTTTTATCAGGCAACTCTTGGTAAAATGTCTGTTTTATCAGGTAACTCTTGGTAAAACGTCTGTTTTATCAGATAGCTCTTGTTAAAACATCTGTTTTACAAGGTAACTCTTGGTAAAACATCTGTTTTATCAGGTAACTCTTGGTAAAATGTCTTTTATCAGGTAACTCTTGGTAAAACGTCTGTTTTATCAGGTAACTCTTGGTAAAACGTCTGTTTTATCAGGTAACTCTTGGTAAAACGTCTGTTTTATCAGGTAACTCTTGGTAAAACATCTATTTTATCAGATAGCTCTTGGTAAAAGGTCTGTTTTATCAGATAACTCTTAGTAAAAGGTCTGTTTTATCAGGAAACTCTTCATAAATGTCTGTTTTACCAGTTTCAGTTGAATGTTTGTGAGGGTTAACCTGAGTCAACATCACCTGTAATTAAAGCTGCCTGAATAAAGAACTGAAATACTGAAGTAGTTACTGGTATCTGGGACAAACTGCAGTAATTAGTAAAATGGGAGTAATCAGTAGTTTCAAAAGTACCATGTATAATAAAACCCATCAGAACCGACCCGTCTGTCAGAAATCTGAAGCTCTGTTCAGATGGTTTCATTTGTTTGTGTGTCTGTGGAGCCTCAGCTGACTTGGATCAGCTGCAGGACCCAGTTTCAGCTCTGTTGTTGTTTCCCTGCAGAGCACATGCCCGTCACACATGCACGTGCACGCCCCCCTGCTTCTGACGCTCCCCATCAGCCAATCAGGTCCCAGCCCTGCAGAAAACACGGCCTCTGATTGGTCGGCCCACTGAGGCGGAAACAACGAGCAGCTCAGGCAGCCAATTGTACCATTTCAGGTCAAACTGTCAGAAAAATGAGTTTTCTTAATCCCTGAGCTTCGTCTGACAGGTACAGTGCGGGAAACCACCCCGGCAGAACCAGGTGTAAGTTTATTTTGTTTTCAGAATCTGAAAGAGTCCCAGCCTGCTCACCCACACACGTTCATCCTCGCTCACTGCAATAATTTTACATCTTATATAAGAAACCGTCCACTGGAAGCAGAAGCAGTTCTGTGGTCTGAGTCTCTCAGGAACAGTCTGTTCCAGCTTCCTGCAGAAGAGCTGCTCATATGAACAAACATCAGTTTTCTCTTTCTACAAACTCCAATATTAAAAAAACATCAATCCTGAGTATTAACTTATGGAGAATGATATTTCCACGGCACCTTTCAAGTGAACTAAGATTTGTTTCAGAACCATCAGGTCTAAACATTTGTTTGACTTTATAAACTTCTTCCACAAACAGATTGAGTCCAAACGTTTGTTCTGTTCTCATCTGAACGCTGACTTTATAAACTTAACCCTACCCTACCCTAACCTACCCTAACCTAACCTACCCTACCCTAACCTAACAAACAGAA